CCACCCCTCCACCCCATCTCGCGCAGCAAGTCTGGGAGTAGATTTTCGAGCAGGAAGAAAAGAGGAAACAATATCAGCAGCCGCAAGCACAGGGAGATGCACTTCAAACTGAAAGCCAGGGTTCCAAAAATCAGAGCTGTCCACCGCGCAGGGGGAAACGCCCTCAGACTGTGCAAAATTGGTTTGGACAGGCGCAGTTTTACGGAGCCGAAGTGGTCGGAATGGACGACGTTGAACTCCGGTTACCTAGAAGGCTGTTCTTGAGGGTTGCGCGCGCAAGGGCGACCGCCAGATTGTTCTCGCACCCCCTTTTTGCCTCCCCGGGGGGCCCTGCTGGCGCCCAGGAGTGGGGCCCATTCTGGTGTGGCCCAATTTTGTCTGGAAAGCAATGACAGGAGAGCGCGCGCCAGACTTCAATCTTCCAGGTCTCCGAGCTATGGCAGCAGCAGCGGCCGAGGTCCCTCCATCGAGACGTAGCCAGCGCAGAGGGCCATGTGGCGCTGCGAATATATGCGCGGCCAGGATCGGATGGAACTTCGCAGGACCTGTCAAGCTGATCGACAAGTCGGGCCAGATTCACATCCTCACGACCACTTCCCCCATTGCTCCTCCAGATATGGTTCCTGGAGGCATGGATACAGCGGCTGCGGGAGACGGCGACCGCCGAGCTAGGGCCGGAGGGTCAGCTAGCTGGGCGTCTCAGCGGCCAAAGACCTGGCCTCCGCGCAGATCGGACTCGGAGAAGGTTACTCTCGCAGCGTTTTTCTGCAAATGTGTCGGGGCCCATGCTGGCCTCCAGGAGCAAGATACCTCGCAGAGCCCCAATGTCCATGTGGCCGTAGAGAAGGCGGCCTCATCGCAGACTCGTGAGCTGCCCATGCACAGAGCCGCTTAGAGACGAGATGTTTCAACACAACGAGCTAGACTAGCGTCCGAACCTTTCCAGATTCCCCCTCCAGGCCGGCTTCTCTCCGAGGCCCGATTGCCCCCGAAGCCCCAGCTGGTCTAGGCAATGAGCGCAACAATGCCATGACTCGGTGCGAAGGGGGGGGGAACGACCCGAGGAGTTCTCAAAGGCAAGATCTGTATTGATGGATCGCGTCTCAAGCAGGGACACCCCGTCTTGCGTGCAGCAGGTGTCGCAGCGGTAACGATCGATGACCAAGGTGACCTAGCAGGAGCGATTTACCGCCCTGCCTCAGACCCCCCCTCAGCCGAGCACTTCGCCGCGCATGCTGCCGCCCCCCTGACCCTTGCTCGGTCGATCACCCAAATAGCCGCGATTATCAAGGCATTCTAGATGTGTACCAGTGTCAGCAGCATTGCAGGACGCATCAATGTCCAGGATTCTCCACGCTTGCGAAAGGCAGGTGGGACCGGCATGGCCCCATCGAGCGCGCGCAGGGCAAAGAGCATCAAGATCGGGAAGCGACCCCCAAGGGATCCACGGAGTGGCTCGATGCCGCAGGCAACGATTTTGCTGACAAGTTTGCCGCGCTTGGCGCGCAGCGCTTGCGCCGTCCGTCTACAGCCGAAGTCGAGCGGGCGGGCGAGCAACGCAAGTTTCTCAAGCAGCGGCTAGTCGATGTTGCCTATGGCTTTAGTCTGCGGGAGCCAGTCGGCCCCAAGTCCAGCAGAAAGGCCTTCGCGTCTCGGGACGAGGGCGCCGCCCAGCGGATCGCCGCTGGCGCGCACAGCGCCCCAGAGACGTGGGTCCAACCCCTCCCCCCTCCTCCTGCCCTGAGGCTCCTCGTCCTCCTCGTCTTCTTCACGCGTGAGAGCGGGAGTGGAACGGCCAGTGGGTTTACGCGCATTGCAAGACGCGGTGCGCGGAGAGTAATTTGCAGGGCAGAGTTGAGGAACCCCGCTGAGGATTGCAGGTTGAGATGTCAGGCCCAGCGCACGATCCCAAAGGCCACGCGCTGCATATCTCACCAGAGCTCCGATGCACGAAGTATATGTTGTCGCGCTCGAACTGTGGACTCTACAGTAAATCGAACGCAAGAGGTCTGAGCGGGATGCGCGGAAATGAGATGAGGCGACCAGGCGCTCGAATTCAGTGGAATTTGCTCTGCAAGGGTAAGCACCCCAGAAGCAACTTTTCCACTCCCTCCAGGTACACTTGCCGCCCGCAAAGGCTGACATATTTCTTGTTCCGTCAGCGCCAGGAGGCCATGTCTCAACAGGAGGACACCAGGCCACAGGGCGGACGAACCTCCCACCCCCAACCACGTGATGATCCTTTTCCTCCTCTCCTTGTCTGTCTCCCCTCTGTCGTCGGCGTCGTCGATCCCCGTCTCTCCGTTGTCCTCCGGTAGCAGCCCAGGGAGCCAGGAGGAGATCGTGGCGTCGGGAGTCTGGGGATCGGGGACGGGTCATTCCCTTTGGGCCTGAGGTCGGAGAGTGTTCTTTCCCTTCAGGACCAATTGATTTTGTAACTTCCGTTGCCGGGGATCGCCCCCCCCTTCTACGTAATGGCATCGAACGTACGCGGGGGAGGTGGGGGGGTGGCTCCCCCACGGGCATGGCGCAGTGTGCATCTGCAAGTTGTGGTTCAGACAGGCATGCTTTGGTGCTCACGAGCGTATTCTGGCGCTCGCAGGCCCGACCCCCCTTGTAACGGACGTGGCGGGAGGAATAGAGGAACATCGCTCTCCAATCCCAGCGCCTGTGTTTTTCTTCCCCTCCTCCTGATCCTTTCCCTTTCTTCGCTCGTCCTAGACTCGCGGGATTTCCGCGCACCGATTCCATGGCATGCATTTGCTTCGCTGCCCCAGTCCAGGGTTTTTGATCTGGGCCTGGCGGGTAGCACGTGAGCGCGTGCATTTGGCAGCCGGCAGCCTGACTGTGAAGACATCGAGCTGTGGACGTTGGTTGGTGTTTCCCGTGCTCCTTTCTATTCCTTCTTCCCACTCTCTCCAAAAATTGCGCGGGGGGGGAATCGTTTTCCAATGCAATGCAATCATTGGGGACAGGGGCGCTTGGGGGGTCGCCTCCCTGCTCCTGGTTCTCCTCCTCCTCCTCTCATCCTTTCTCCTCGCTCCTCCTGGCATTCGGAGTCTGCCCGACTGTATGGGAGTACAGGCTCGGTCTCGCTTGCAGAGGCTCCCCCTGTAGTCCGAGGAGCGGTTGGGGCACGTCGACGCGTCGTCTTTGAGTTTTGGGAGGCTGCGAGGAGGCGCAGGAGGAGGCGCGCGGTGGGAGGCCCCTCATCGCGGGGAGGCAGGGCGGGGCCGGGGGACGGAGCGGGATGGGCAGAGAGGGGAGGGGACGGAAGGTGTAAGAATGGGACGGGGAGAGGAGGGATTTCTCGACGCCCACTGCCACAGATCTCCCCAGCCAGCTCCGTCCAGGCTAGCTGTCGCCCCAGCCCTCTCAGAAAGAAGCCCCTTTGAGCCTAGACTGAGCTTTGTGTCTGCCAGTACTATTTGATGACGGTGGGGGGCGGAATTTGGGGGAAGAAGCTCTACTCACCGTGGGTCTTGACGCAAGTGTGCTTTTTTATATATCGCTATGGCAAGCACATGGCAGCGGGTGCCGCAATCGATTTGAAGTCAATCCACCTCCGCCACCGCCCACCGCCAGCACAACAACTTGAAAGGGGCAGGGAGGCGAGAGAGGGCAGGGTGTCGGGGGGGAGCACGCGACTCCAAGCCGCATGCAGGCTTGCCCAGGGGAGGAGCGGGAGGGAGGGGAGGGGCGGAAAAGGGTGGACAGAGGGAGGACCCAGACATCCGACGTCGTGGCTTTTCCACAGCGTGGACCCCTGGAGGTCCGGACCCCTTCCCTGGGACCGCCTTTTGCATCCTTCGTCTCGGGGGCGGCCAAGAGGGGGGTGATGACTAGGGGGTAGCCGCCGATCCAGGGGGGCTCTCTTGCATTGTCTAGGGGGCCTCTGGGGCCTCTCTTGGCTTCCTCTTGGGCTGTCTTGGGCGGTCGGGGCTCCGGAAGTGGAGTTTTCTATACCCCCCTGTCCCCGGGTACCGAAAAACGTCGGGGGCGGCCAAGATGGGGGGGGTGACTAGGGGCGAGTGGGCCATGATACGTCCCCAGATTTCATGGCGCCTCCTCTTATCTCATTACGTCCCTGGCACCCCTCTCGGCCGCGCACCTGCCGCTGGCCATGATTTGCGCCCCCCCTCTTGGACACCCCCCTCTTGGCCGCCCCCGATAGTCGTTCTCCGGCGAGGGGCCCAGAAAGGTCGAAAATGGATGCAGACCCTCCGTCGCGGTTTTTGGGCAGCGAGAGGGTGTCAGGGGAAAGCTCGGCCACTGCTCCGGCCCGGGCCTCGGGGCGTCGAGCTCACCGTGCCCCAGCATTGAGCGCAACGAGCTCCCCCGCCCCCGCGAAACCAGCTCTCGCATCTCCTGCCTCCTCGTCATGCTCCTCCCTCCCTCCGCCGGCGCAGGCGCGGCGGAACCGCCGCAGGAGGTGAGACGCTCCTTCCGGAGCCTGCCCGCGGGGGGGGGGGGGGGGAGGGGCGGGGCATGGCGAGCGGGAGACGGCGAGGGGGCCTCCCCCCCTCTCCCCCGTGCAGGGCTGGACCTAAACGGTGTTTTGGCCATCTCGCGGGCCGGTTCGTTTCTCGTGCTGCTTTGCATTCGAGGCGAAGCGAAGGCAAAACGAGGAAGAACGAACAGACACGACGAAAACGGAAAACACCGTTTAGGTTCAGCCCTCCCCCCGTGGGCACGACTGCCGCCGCGCGCCGCGCCGCCGCTCCTTGACCCTGCGCGGCCGTGGCCGCGAGGTCCGCCCCGGCCTCGGCCCCGGGCGCGCGGGGGGGCCCGTTGCGGCCTGCTGTCGGCTACGTTGAGAAGCGACCCCTCGCCAGAGCGACCTCTGGTGCTGGCCCGCAGGGGTCCCGCCAGAGCTTGCCGTCGCGCTTGGATGGCCTGCATCTGGCCGCCGCCGCGACCCCCGGAAGCCGCACACCAAAGGTCACTCCTGAGCAGGGTCACTCAGTGTTTTCGTGGCTGTAGCCGATGCTCGCGCGCAGGCAGTGGAGAAGAAGGCTAAGGAGATCGGCGAGCAGATCGCGGACGAGGCCGCCAAGGCTGCGGCGGGCTTCTCTCGGATACAGATAGGGCCCAGGGCCGATGCTGATCATGCCGACGACGATGACGGCGTCCTCGCGTCGGCTATGAAGATTTTGGAGGGAGTTCGGCATGCGCGCGCGGCCGGCGCGCGAGAGTGGCCCGCTCGATACCATTTGACACGGATCGCGCCCCTCTTCCACCCCACCCCAGCACTTGTGCAAGGGCCCTTCTTTGGTTTGACATGTAGCGCGGGAGGCCACTCTGGCCGAATTGAATACAAGCGTTGAAAACAGATGTTTGTCGTAAGAGTTGGCAAGCGCACGAGCGTAAGCTTCTTTTGAAAATTGGCGTTGCAAAACCATGTGAGTTGATTCGTTCCGTGACACTCGATTTTGAAATCCCTACGAAACCTAAGGTGTTTGAGGGATTGCCGCATGCGCACGCGACGACGCGCGCGCATGTCGTCCCACTCGCTGCAAGGGATTATTGCGGTAGCACGCGCGCAAGGGCGCTCGAGCGATTTTGACATGCGTGCGCGAGAGGTCCGCTTGGTCGCATGTTATGAAGATGTTGAACAACTTATGGTTTTCTTCAGAATTCGCAAGAGCGCAAGGTTGGTGATGGTGCCCCGAAGCCAGAAGGTATTGTACGCCCAAATCACTTGACCAGGTCTGGCGTGGTTTGTGTTGTTTGGGCGACGGCAGTTCGGATTAGTGGAATGGGGCGGAGGAGGCGCCCCCCAGCACACATCACCAAACCAGGTCCCACCAAATTCAGTCTTGCCAATGCCCGATTCTCGAAGAACAACAACTTGCATAAACATACAGTTCCGTAGCTCCGCTGGGATTTCTTGTATCTACGCTGGAGCCCCCTGGCGGCGCCTCCGGCGCCGCCCCTGGCGCGCTGCGCGCGCCAAGGAGGGGACCTCGGAAAGTATATGGTCGCGCACTTGTTACACTTCTGTGGAGGCCTCCCAAGTAAGGGCGGAGTAGATGGGATCGTTGGATCGCGCCGCATCGCTGATGCATGGGCAATGCGGCTCGATATGGAGCCCGATGTTGTCCACGCAGACGGCGCCGATGTGTCGCCGATGTTGCCGTCGCATCTGCGATGCACTGGCGATGTGGCGCATCTTCCGACCATATCTACTCGGACCCCACTTGGGAGGCCTCCAGGGTTCGGCCCTTGGACGAAATGGGGCCTGGCCCGAGTGGCAGGCCCACGCTTTGCTCTGCAGTCCACAGCGATGATATGGACGGGTAGCCTTCCCAAGGGTACCCTTGCATCCTTGCCTCTTCGGTCTATCCTGAACCGCTTTCGATGGCCACCCCCGCTCGAAAAGCTTCGGCATGGGCGTCCAAGTGCATCGCATCCTTGTCGCGCATCCTTGCTATCACTTTTGACTGTAGCCTCTCGTGTTCAATTCGCGATCGCGTAGCCCAGCGTGCCGCTTCGGCACTTTCTGTTAGCTAGAGGAATGGAAGGTGGATCCCTTTCAAAACGGGGTATCGCCTGAGCGACAGGCCCACCTGGCGCTCATCGTGGACCTCTGGAAGCCTCTGGAGTCATCCCGAGACCTCGGGAGGCGTCCGCGAAGGCCTCTGGCCCTCGTATCTCCCTGGTGCTGGTCCCGTCCTCCTGCTTCCCTTGTTTTCGCCTTGTTGGACCTCCTGGGAGGCCCTCGTCGCCACAGCTAGATTCGCAGCTGCATCCTGGTCAGAATGCACCTAGGGAGAGCTTGTGGGTATAGACTTATGGGTACATTTTGGTTTTCTCAAGTCAGGGTTGGTAGTTCTTGATCGTGCCACCTAACTCATTATCACCTTCAGGCTACCTCCACCCCCACCTACATTGAAAAGTCGGGACCGCAGAAGCCATGATTCAGTCGTGCATGTTTCTGTGAGGCCGCGGGGGCCTGGTAAGGAGTTGTATTGACCAATTGGCGATTATCAGATGCATCGATCGTCCCATAATACAAGACTAAAGGAGTCCAGGTTGGAAACTCGCGGTTAATGCCAGGTGTCTTTGGAACAAGTTATTGGACGTGTTCCAGGACGACCAGAAGATGTACCATGCCGCTAGAAAGTGGTGTTTTCGCGTGCGATTGCCTCCCAAACCCAACAAAAAAAAACGCCCTTGTTTCAGTGGCCTGGAGTTTACAAAAGTTCGTCGAAGGGGCAGCGACTCCCAGCTGAACGGCGTCTGATTCCCTTGTAAAGTGCCGATCCAGACTTTTGAATCCAGGGGGCGGTAATCGCGACAATGAGGTGGGCGACCCTATCGCGCGGGCAGGCTGGTTGCTGATTCGAGCTCCCTTGCTTGGCGCGCCGAGACTTGGCGCCTGAGGACCCGTGATTTGCGACGGTATATTATTTCCCGCATGTCACGTCGATCCATGCAAGCTAATTTCACGGATCCAGCAATTTGGTGTTTTCCCCAACAATCTTGTGGTGTTGGGTCTTCGTTTTGATTCAGAGGTGTCTTGCGCTTTCCTCTTCCTCCTTCCACACGCTTCGTGGCTCCACTGGGAGCTCCACCTGACCCCGCCGCAAATTTCGTCACACCCCTCACACGTGTCGTGGCCCCATGGGGAGCTCCACCCAGGGCCCCAGGGGCTGCGGTGCCGATCACGTTCCGACGCACACACACACACACACACACACATGACATGTTTCTCCGTCGGCGGCGAGGCAGAGGCAGTCCGCACCAGCGTGAGGCGAATCGGGGCAACCGAAAGGCGAATTGTCCAGTGTGCAAGAGGAAGGGAAGAAGGCTCGGGCGGCCGCGCCAGGGGAGGAGGGGGAAGCGCTCAGACGTGGAAGAGTTCCGCGAAGAGCAGGCCGGAGCGGCCAGCCGGGGCAGCGGGGACCGACACACACACACACACACACACACGCACACGCACACGCACATACACACACACATATAAAAATATATACATACACACATACATCTGTATATTTATACTGTTATACATACAACTAATTAAGTGTGTATATATATAATTCCTCTTCCTATATTTTTACAAGCCCGGGGGGGGGGAAACCTCCCCCCCCCCAGAAAAAAAAATATCCTGACGAAGGACCCAACCATATGCAATTGTGAATAAAGCTCTGTGGGTGTCGCTTTCGGTGGGGCTCCCTATGGGGCCACGAAAGGCGTGCCACGAAACGCTGTCCTGGGCGTACGGGACGCATGCGGGCGGTAGCACTGGGGCCTTTGGTGGAGCTCCCTATGGAGCCACGAAGCGCTGTCCTGGGCGTACGGGGCGCATGCGGGCGGTAGCACTGGGGCCTTCGGTGGAGCTCCCTATGGGGCCACGAAGCGCTGTCCTGGGCCCTCGGCGACGAAACGTGTGAGGGGTGTGCCGAAATGGGTGCGGTGCCGCCATGCCAACGCAGCCACTGGGGCCCTCGGTGGAGCTCCCTATGGGGCCACGAAAAGTGTGAGGGGTGTGCCGAAATGGGTGCGGTGCCGCCATGCCAACGCAGCCAGTGGAGCCCTCAGTGGAGCTCCCTATGGGGCCACGGAACGTGTGAGGGGTGTGCCAAAATGGGTGCGGTGCCGCCATGCCAACGCAGCCACTGGGGCTCTCGGTGGAGCTCCCTATGGGGCCACGAAACGTGTGAGGGGAGTGCCGAAATGGGTGCGGTGTGTGCGCCAGCCACTGGGGCCTGCAGCCACTGGGGCGGTCTCCGTCCCTATGGGGCCCGCCATTGGGGCGGTGAGGGGTGTGAGGGGTGTGCCGAAATGGGTGCGGTGCCATGCGCCCGCAGCCACTGGGGCGCCCTATGGGGCCACGAAACGTGTGCAAATGGGTGCTGCGGCAGCCACTGGGGCCTTCGGTGGAGCTCCCTATGGGGCCACGAAACGTGTGAGGGGTGTGCCGAAATGGGTGCGGTGCCGCCATGCGCCCGCAGCCACTGGGGCCTTCGGTGGAGCTCCCTATGGGGCCACGAAACGTGTGAGGGGTGTGCCGAAATGGGTGCGGTGCCGCCATGCGCCCGCAGCCACTGGGGCCTTCGGTGGAGCTCCCTATGGGGCCACGAAACGTGTGAGGGGTGTGCCGAAATGGGTGCGGTGACGAAGGAGGGGGCAGCGGGAGGAAGGGAGGAAGGAAGGAGTGAACGCGGGGCGCTGTCTCTTCAAAACGAGGACCCAACACCACAGGATGGTTGGGAAAAACTTGACCTCCGGGATCGTGGGTTCTCGGGCTCTCTTGGACGTCCTTGGAAAAGGTCACCCGGCTTTCCGGGTCTCTACAAACGCCTTGCCAGCAGACCCAGAGCGATCCGAGGGGTCATCAGAAAGGCTCAAGGGAGGCCCCAGACAGCACAAGAGCGCTCCAAGAGGGACTCCAATTGCGTCAGGACGGCCCAAAAGACCCCCAAGGCATCCCAAAAAGCTTTCCAAGGGGCTTTCAAAGCACAAAAATCGTCCCATTCCCTTCGTAAAACTTACAGCTTTAGCAGATTCGCCTTTCGGATTTCATGAGCTTTCAAGACGGTGTCAAAGCCCCCGAGATCGCCTCCAGACGCCCCAAAAGGCCCCCAAGAAAGCTTCAAGATGGCCGAGCCGGGCCCCACGATCGCCCACGAGAGCCCCAAGACAACCCATAATGGAATCAAGAGGCCCCCCAAGGGCTCCCAGCACAGACCCAAAAGGGCCATGGGAGGTCCCTGGAAGTGCCCAAGATGGGTCCACAGGGGGCTCCACCGGGCCCAAGCTCCCAAAGACGGTCCAAGAAGGCCCCAGGACGGCCCATTAAGGCACCAAGGGCCCCGAAAACACCAACACGACGTTTCCGAATGCCAACATAAAGACCCCCAAGGCACCCCAAAAAGCTTTCCAAGGGGCCTTGAAAACACAAAAATCGTCCCATTCCCTTCGTCGAACTCACAATTTTAGCATATTCGCCTTTCGGATTTCATCAGCTTTCAAGACGGTTTCAAAGCCCCCGAGATCGCCTCCAGACTCCCCAAAAGGCCCCCAAGAAAGCTTCAAGACGGCCGAGCCG